ATAATTTGAATGTTTGAACCATATATTGTGTGCATGATATCAAATGGTTGATTATGAATTGAGATTCAATTTATGTGGATGTTCGACGTTTTAGATATGCTTACTCAGCTTCACCGCTAAGCGTGTAGTGTGTTTTATTTGCTACACGCAGGTGAACAGAAAGATTAATGTGATCCTGGCGGCAGATGGGGCGAGATTGTCAGGATGGATGTGACAAGTTTTGAAATAATTTATGATATGTCAATATTAAATTCGCTTCCGCAATATTGTTAAATACTCCGTACTGTATATGTTATGAAAAATATTATTGGGATTAATAAAGTGTGTTTGAAAAGTTTTAAATTTTACGATTACCAAGTTAAATACTTTAGTCCGAATGGGGTTGCAGACCTGGACGGATTAGGGTGTTACACTTTCACTGTTGGTGTTACTGTCCATTTTTCTATCATCACTACGTCGTGATCTTTCATGTCAATAGCACATACAAATGAGTCCATTTCAAAGTAAGGAGTAGCGATTCTTGATCGTTAGTTTGTTCAAGTTTCATAATAGAGAATTGTTAGTATCCTGACGGTAAGTCAATCTTAGAGAACACAATGGATCCTCTAAGCTGATCAAATAAGTCATTATACAAAGTAAAGGATAAGGATATGTTTAATTGACGATAGTTCATACAGAGTCTCGTCGATCCTTCTGTATTCGCATATGAACAAAATAGGTATTCAAAGAGAAAACACTTGATCAAATGATTCTTTATTAAGGAATCCTTGAGTTTTCAATATCAACGGAGGTTTATTCAACATGGAATTACATAGATATTAGATAGTGCAAATCCCGAATCAGTACATGGATAATTTTATAAATTATCAATAAGAAAATATATTAATGATGATACCAAAGTTTTCTTCAACGCGGTCTTTCACTACATACGCACGTGCATGATTTTGTTTGTTGGTTATTTCCTGCTGGTGCAAGTCGGACTGAGGTAGACTGACTTTGAACAGGGCCATCGGCATTGGTTTTCCAAGGGCTTGTAGGACATTCCTTTCGGAAATGCCCAGATTTACCACAACCTATACATAATCCTTGTGTCATCCAACATTCTCATGGGTGATGTCTTCTACAAGTGTTACACTTTGGATGTTTCCACACTCTTAATTTGTGTTGAGTTGACAAAGGTTTTCTTCTTTTCGAGGGTGGGGCACTATACGTTCCAATCAAAGGCTTCTTTCCCTTAATATCGGGTTTGATACTTAAATAAGCATTGGAATGACCTTTAATATCTTGGTGGATGTTTTGATTGTCTGGTTCTTTTCGGACAACGAGAGTGAAATTTGATATTTCAATATGAACCATTGTGTGTCCATTGTTTTGTACTTGGTTATCTTGTCTGCGCGCAGTTTCTTGACTCATTCTAAAAATAGTAGTAATTTGTTTATTAGGATTCATTATTTGCGTAGGTGCGTTGATAACAGATATCACGAGGGTATATAACAGCTGCGACGATTGAAAACAATCAAGAGAGATTGGAAGAAACGATAGGGTTTATTAATTCTAAACGTTTTCGTTTGTGTCAATGATTGGTTCGCGTTGAGTCCACATGAGGATCTTTGACACCGGCTTCACAAATGTTGTTCAACATATATCAACACGAATCGTTCTTCAGGTTCATCTTACTTCCGTGCGACTTTTCCGGTACAGATCAACTTCATCATTCACGATGCGATGCGTACATTGATAATGTATCAGAGGTTTATACATTTTTCCTTCTTTCGTTTCTTCATTGAATATGAAAATTCGACTTGAGTCTATGCTCGATATAATTTCATTACTAACAATTGTTATCAAATTAGAATTTAACACAGTCAATATTTACCAAGTAAATTCTCATACCTTTTCTGGAGCACATGGATGCGAGAGTCGTGGATGTGATTGACATTTTGTTATTTGGTTTAGTCGTTGTGTCCACGCCTTAGAGGGGGGGGGGTGAATAAGGCGTTTAAAAACTTTTCGGAGTTAAGTAAAAATGGTGTTGGCAAATGCGGAAGCAATATATAAAACGCAGAAATAAAAGCGTAAATAAAATGCACACCAATTTTATACTGGTTCGAGAACTCCCTACTCCAGTACCTCAAGGCTCCTCCTCAAGGATTTCCGAATCCACTAAGTCTCGGTCTCTTGAACTCCGTCAAAGCACCGCACTAGTTTGGCAAACAACCCTTGCCAATAGGATTCACTCCAAGATTTTACCACGGCTATCTCGAACCGTTTACAACGAAGATTTAACGGCTATCTTCTACCGTTCCCCCAAGGATTTCAAAGGCTATCCTTGAACCTTTACCCAAGGATTTATACGGCTATCCTCGACCGATACAATATGAGAATTTAACGGCTATTCTCGACCGTAAGAAGGTGTGTTTGAAGAACACAAAAGAGGATTCTACACAACGGCTAGAATATAAAAATGAAGAACAAAACATAGCCGGTGTAGAAGGAAATTATACTCTCACAAAAATACAATATAAACTTATGAATATGAGAGTAT